AAAAGTAAGATTGAAGTTCCAAACTGTAACTATCATCAAAAGAAGTTACGTTGAAAAACAGGTAATGAATGATCAAAGGCGCCATGCTCCGGTCCTCTATGCAAGATCTCAGCCAGTGTTTAATGCCCTCACTTCACACAATGTCGACTGTTCTACTTCATTCCCAAAACTGATGCGTTCAGAGCAAAGTTAGCGTTTTGCCGATTTTTTAAAAAAAATATGACTTTAGTCTGATCAATAAAGAACAGAAAGGAAATCGAGAGAACTACAGATGAAGAACAGAGTTTCTGTGATAGTAGATAGCAACGTTACAACCCCCTCCCGACTATACGGGTCATTGGATGTAACACCAACTTAATTATGTTAAACAAGACTAGCGAAAATTAATTTATAAGCACTCAGATTTTGTATAGTTTCGTGTTAGGGTTCTTACAAACCACGATGTTTACAAACTTGCATGCTGTGCTGAGAGAAAGGACCAGGCAGTAATTATATCTTTATGTTACTGTGATACGTCCTATCCCGTTACTAACTCGTCAGATCAGAGAGCACAAGTTTGCATCATATGATAATCATAACAAAAACACCTCACAGAAGATCGACGCCTTTGTTTCAACCATGACCCCGTGTTTGCATCTGTTCTTTCATTGTTACGGCTCATCGAAGGCTGGCTGAATCTTCGAAGTCAAGCTTTTATCTTTTCGTTTCTCTTTGGGGAAAGTCAAGGTAAGCTTTATTTCAAGGAGCTTAAGAAGTTATCCGTGACGAATTTAAAGGGGTGAAGAGTTTTTCGTGAACAGATCCAGGCAGCATTTTTCCTTTGTAAAATGAATAAATTTTGATATCGAAGGCAAAACTCAGTGACGCGATTTGAAGTAAGAAATAAAAAAAGTTGTGAATGTAACTTCATATTACTTGATTAATAACTCTTTCCATGGCTAAAATTAGGCGGGGTGTAAGGGTATGACTCATATTCCGTGACCAGTTTAAAGCGTCTGTATGGGTTATTGCCGTCCTTTGCAGGACAAGCTATTATAAATACCGCATTACGGCATGAACTCGAGTTTCTTACCCGTAAAACATCTACCTACATCACCGCTGGGAAGCATAACTTTTTAACAGTGCTTTTGTAACGCTTTCTGAATTAAGAATGATCCATAAATACGATCGGGGTTCCTCCGTAATTTCTTTACTAGTATTTCAGTGTTCAAAATCTTCTTTGTTTTTGTGTGACCACGCTGTTTCACCTGCATCGAAAACAGCGAGAAAACATAGTTCCGTATAGGGCTATTATACTAATAAGCAAAAGATGTCAAGCTCAGTTTTGAAAGACTTAAAACAGTGGTGAGCGAACAGGTTTTACGGTTTTCAACAAGCATCAATAACGAAAATGAAATCGGAACAACCGCAGTGAAAATAGCTGAGATCTTCAAAATAATTGTCACTCTTACGTGTTGAAAGATCCAACATGGTCCATTAAAACAGTGGTATCGATTATCGATCCGCCATAAAATGAACAACAAGAGATTTCAACTGCAGTTTGAAATATATTCTGAACATATAAGGCCGAGCGTCTGATTTTTTTGCTCAAAATCCTCCCGAAATGACTTTTATAATAATAATGGTGATTTAAAAACCCATAATTTCAACCAAATAACAGGTGCTTATTTCATTTAGGGACCGGTTATTTTTATCGCCTGGGGGTTGAGGAATTTGGAAGATTTTGGTTGTCACGATAAAATCTACCTGATCCCCATAAGGCTCTGTAATACTCTTATGACTACCCTCTCCACCTCATTGGCAGTTAATTAGTGTTAATATTTTACATAACCCTACTTTATACTCTTTTAGCAACGACTGATGCTCTCCCCTATTCCCCCCCTGAAAACAACGTGATCCCCTTAGAATCGTCCATACCCTCCTTGGTAACTTATAACGACTGGCACGTTACTTATGTGTGTGGTCATCATCATTGACAAAACTATCAACGCAATTGGCTTTTTTTCTGTTTGGTGGGTATCTTGATATGCATTTTATTACAGTTATCTGAAATAACACGAAGGGGCATTCGAAAATTTATGTATGTTAAAGAGACAAGATTTCTCACCGGCGCGTCATTTTTGATAGAAATCCTAGCGGAGTATTGTCACTTGATGAAAATTTAAATAAATAATTAATTAGTAATAAAACTTAGTATATACTCGATTCGAGTCTACTTCAGGCAAGAAGTTTTCGTGGAAAGGTTATTGATTTTCTCGCCAAATTTGGCGTAGCAGAGCGGCAGGGTCGGAGTTCTTCCCCACGCGAATTCATTGATGACCGGTGTGAAGGGGTGTGCGGTGGAGGGGGGAGGGGAGGGGAGTTTCTAGACGTCAAATTTCGCTTATGTTGCAAAAAAATTAGTTTGGACACAATAATCAGTCTCTTTGTCATTTCACAAATTATTTTATTGGCGCTAAGCTTGGCCAAGAGTTTTCGTATGCGTAATCACAAATAAAACAGACTAGATACCGTAAAGATTGAGAAGAGGTTTCTCTGTGCAAGTGACATTGAGTGAGAACGTGTATTGCGCGGTGTACCATAGGCTCCCCAACCTCCCTCCCCCCCTCACGCTCCAAACGCTCCGCTTCCTCTTCTCTAAAATGACTTGCAGTCTTTAATATTGGACATGAACTTGGCCAGTTCACAACAGAAAAATGCGCCTCTAGGGTCACTGAAGTAGAAGGAGATGTAAGCTCCAGAAACCACATCATTTTTATCTCTGAAGTTAAATAAGAGTATGTGCAATTTTGACATTGACCGAGTTTGATTCCTAACAGTGGCCTATTACTTCTAAAGTAGTTTTTAAATTTGCTACGAACTCGAGAATAAAACGCCGCCATTTTAAATCTTGCTTAACAACCCTGCCGCTTACCTATGAAGTTATAGTATTTGATATTTTTCTTAATTTTCTTTCCTTAAATCTCTTCCAGGTTGATATTTATAAAGACTAATGGGCGACGCAAAAGACGTAGTAAAGTTAGAGTGGGGACTGGAGGGTTGGAAGGACAAGACTAAGGCCATAAAAGAGGAGATAAAACGTCAAAGCGAAGCAAACGAATTGTTCTTTGTTAAAAATGCCAAGCAAATTGACCTGTCTAAGTTTCTGGAGGAGAGCACCAACAAGTACACCTTTGCAATTATGGGTATGAGTGGAGCAGCTATTGTAAATCTTCTTCGCACAATCATCATGGAGTACCGTGAAGTAGATAGTGGTCCTTACTACTTCAAGTTTGCAGCTGATAAAAAGTTTAAGGTGGAGCTGATGCCCACAGCGCTTTATCCTGGACATGGACTAATTAAAGTCGTTGGCAGACTGAAGTATTACTCCTACCATGAAATGTGTGCGTTACTGGCTAAGAGTGGCGTGACAAGTAAGGGGCTGGGTGACATGACGCTCAAACTGAATACCAAAGGAATGAAGTCTGCGTTGTTTAATGCGGTTAGTCCCATGAACGAACTTCACTTCATGTTACTCTTTGAAATCGCGCGGAGGCTGGTACGGGATTCAAACGGGAAGCCCGTGTCGACAGATCCCATACTTGATCTTCTTCCCTCGGGCGTGATCATTGGTCGAATCATCGAGCTTTTGCGCGTAGAAAAAGACGTCGTGCTAAGTTACGACAAAGTCTTCGGCGATCAGCAGCCACTCAATTGGATAACGGAGAACAACACTATACTTAAACGCCAGAAAATGACTGCCATTAACAAAATGTTCTTTGAAAAGTTTATCCAGGGCCAGCAAGATGAGGTCCCCTTCATACGGAGATTTCTAGAGGAAAACAAGAACGGTTATATAATTAAAACTTTAGAGGGATACCTTGACGATTTAAAAGAAGTATTTGGTGAAATGTGATATAGAACAGATGAATAATCTTCGCCAAGTTAATCTGCTGTGATATTACGATGAAAACTAAACTTGTCACGCCCAGATCTCTCTCTCTCTTTGCGAAAGTGGGGTGTCTGTGAAACGCAGAAACTGGATTCGATGTTAACTTTAACTACCGAAACATAATTATCATGTTTTATTTAACATAGGAAGTTTACAAAAGCGCCAAAAAAAATTAGTATTTAAAATGAAGACAACACTTGATTTTCTTTATGATTATTACTGAACTAACTTAATGTTCCACTAACAATGTCCGTCAACGAGATATCGATCACAGCGCTTCGTGCGCGCTGTACTAAACAGGAACAAGAATCTTATTTTCTCTTAGACAGGACCCTTTTCGGATTTTTTGTAGATGCATGGTCAAACTGGTTTGTGTTATGTGTAAGTGGAGTACTAGTATCAAGTCAGAGGCTTACACACTCTTGAAGATTTTGTAAGAGTAGCTACATTGGACTCCTCAGTTTTCATCTGAGGGACAACAAACAGCATCAAAAGGTACTGAGACACTTATATGAACAATGATGAGGCGTAGACAGCATTTTTCAACGAGGGAAGTCGTGTTTCAGCTGTGTCTTAGTGAAATTTGAGTCCTTACATGCACTTGTTTATGCCATTAATTACTATCATTTGCATACGAGGGCTGTGAGGGGGAGGGTGGGGAGGGGGACGGAGGCACACGAACTCTAAGCCTCTCTCCTTCATCCTCCTACCTCATAATTTCACCATTTTCTATCATGATTCTCCTCGCCAGCCCGGCAGGAGTTGTGATTTTACCTTGTTGATTGATATTTCTAACTCTTTTACTAGGCTAAGTCTTCCATTTCATCATTAATTTATTTAGAACTGAAAATCGCTTTTCATTCGTTAGTGGTTGGTAACTGTCAGCCTTTGAAAAGTTGTTTCCGCAAGGATTCACACTTAAAGTACTTTCGTTTGATCAAGAGACATGTACTATGCAGGTTTGACTTCATTAGAAATTTAGTAATTTTTAAAAACCGAACGATACAGAAAGGTTATTAGCGGGTTGTCGAAGGTGCAAGGGGAAATACACAATTTTGAAAGAGTATATTTATACGAAATGTTTGTCGCCATCGTTTCATAACTGGCTTACCTTCTACTCTTAATTAAGTGTAAGAATAAAAGCAGAATCCAATTTATCTTTTATCGAGTATGTCTTCGTTTTATCAGGAGTGCTCTTAACCCTTGACCTTATGAGTGACTAGCATTTAATTCCTCCAACAATACCACTCCTAAATCACACATTCTAAAAGGTCACGAGAATAAAGGAAATCAATAATTACTAAGTTAGGAACCCATCGATGGTCAAACAAATCCTCCTGTTGATCAGCATCTCAGAAAATGCATAGAGAACAGTATGGAGAATATGCACACCGATGTCGGGGTTCAAACGGCTAGACTGACTGTCATAAAGCCAAAAAAGTGAAGTCAATATAATGGCCAATCGGAAGGAAAGTAAGTTTAGGATAGTCACGTGACAGCTTCATGTGCTATAGAACACGAGTGATTTCGTTACGTTCGGTTTCCGATTGGCGTCTAAGATCTAAATGGATGGGAGCGAGGCGCAAAAATTCTGGGCCAATCACACAGCGTATTAATTTAAAGCAAGAGCCATCATCCGCCGCACTTTCGATAATCGATTGGATATTTGAGGAAAATGGGGGTTCCGTATACAATGCAGAGTTTATATAACAAGGTTCATTGCCTTGGCCTCTCCAAAGAGAAAGAGAGTTGTTGATGTACTTTCATCTTATGAGCATACTGTTTCTCAGATATTTGAGTAAATGTTGTTCACAAGTGATGACGTTATTGTTCCAATTGTATACTGTTTTTCTTCATTTTCTTTCTGTGTGTTAGTAAGTGTAATCAAATGTAATCAAATGGCGACGAGTGAAATTAGGAAATAATTTCACTTGCGTTTTGTCAAAATTCTGATTCTTTTGATATCGTGGGTGACAAATTACGGTCACAACCGTAATTGTTTTTACTGGTTTATTCTATTGGAAACCGAGAACATGAAGAAGAATATAGTTTTCGTTTAAAGCATACATTATCGTTAGAGTTCGTAGTTTTCTGAGTTTCTTCACAAAAAATACCTTTCGAATTCTTCGTGCCTGTTAATAATTTTCGGCCGCTTCTTTTAATTTCGTAACTTCTTCAAGGGCCGCCGTCTAAAATCTCGACGCCATCTTGGGTCTGATCGAGATACAAGAGATGTTACCATGGCAATTTCGCGCCAAAATTAAGGTGTAATTTGTCACCTATGATATTAATCTTTTTCTTGTCTAGTTTTGTGTCACTTTCTGTTTTGTTTTGAAGGTGTTTTTAATTTTTACCATAATTTCTTTTTGCAAGGGAAAATAAAGGACACTGAACTACGACCAGAACATTTTTCTTTTTTTGGAGAACTGGTGTTTTTGGTTCTATGGTAATCCAACCCAATTTAAGACAATCTGAGGTTGATTCATTTTTATTATAAATAAATGAAGGAAATATAAAAATTGACTCATAAATATTTCCATTATCGAAGTCTCAAAAGAGTTGAATTACTTCATCCCAGTCCTTCTCGTCCCACTGACCATTCTCTCGCACATTTGGCGGGCTTTCCTTCCAGTTCCATTCTTTGATTGGAATCTGCCAGTTCCTACCGTAGTTTGCCATGATATAAGATTCTGTTTCACAAGGAATGCGTACCTTCTTGAGAAGAAACTCTGTCCAACAAAGAGTAAATTTTGGAAAGATGTACCTATGGGCGAAATGAGGTGGAAAGATGTAAAAATTACTTTTCACGCTTGCCTGTCATTTAACAAGTGTTTGCGAAGTGAATATCATTCAACGGAATATTTTTTATAGTCGCTCAGGTGTAGATATTTTTCTCAGCGTCTTCTTTATGTCAACGCCACATTTCATATTGGCGAATGTGAAATGTCGCTCAAATGTAGCCGAGCGCGGGAAAATTTACAACCGCGCCGAACGCAGGAAGATGAGAAACTATCTTCCTTGAGAGGCCATGAAAACTTTCGTTGGTAAATATAAGCTTAGTTCAATATCCTTACTTGCAAAACTCATACAAACACACAATAGTTTTAGACTGAGAATAACGCCTAAGGAAGAAAGCTCTGCTCAAATTCAGTTTGTCCAAGTTTTAAAGTTTTAAAAAGAAAGTTTTAAAAAGAAAAATGTTGTGGTCGTAGTTCAGTGTCCTTTATTTTCCCTTGCAAAAAGAAATTATGGTAAAAATTAAAAACACCAAAATTTACGTCAATGTTGTTGCAGTTCAAGAGACCAGCTGGTAAGTTTATATTGCTGTGTGTTATGTTTCCTTTATCAATTCACTTTCACTTAAATCAATCCTTCCCCTCAAATTGTACCCAAAACTAAAAAATTCAGTTTGAAAAAAAATTTATCCCAATCCTGCACGGTTTTTACAAATTGGATTTGGTAGCCATCTTACTTGAATTTTTTCCCCGTTTTGGCCTGTGTACCACCATTCCACATGTATTCCTTCTCTTCGTAGAAAAAGAAGATATCTAATTTCACATAATCCTCTTTCGTTCTAAACGACAACTCAAAGCTATCGTCCATCTAAACAGAACAGAGGAAAAATGAGCAAGTCTTTTTTATCACAAAGCATTACTCAATTTTGCAACACACAAATTCAAGTATATGTCGCATGAAAAAGACTTTTTGACAGTGCTGTTAGAAATATATAAGAACGAGACAGTCATAAGCACGTGACAATTGATTAGCGTTGCGTTTTATATCAGATATGATCTTAGCGATGACGTAAATTGTATTTCCTTAGAAATCTGATCGCGGGTGTATTCTATAAAAAAGCGGTGTGACAGTTACTGAGAAGATATTCCAGTCATAGGGAGTGATTTAGCTGTGAACATTCAAAAATATTCAACGAGACCTAGAGTGACTAGTGTTGATATCCGCGTTTCCAACAGGTGCTTTAAACGTTACACTTGCCCAAAACTCCAAAGAATTTTTATCCCATATAAAATAATGTGGCAAAGATGGGCTCACCTGCTTTGGATCTTAGATGTAAATGAACTCGGTCTCTTGAAAAGTCTGTCTTTTTGTCACTTAATTTGTTCTGACCCCTCAAAATCTTAAAAGCTGAGCAGATCCACTACAGTTTCACTTTGCTATTTGGTTCGTCATTTTTCATAGTGTGACACTGTGCACTTTGTGTCGTGTGAAATGCCAAATAAATATCAGAAAAAAAATACCTTTACCAGTGAGTGAACTACCCTCCCCTAGAAAAAGGTTATAATTACTGAAGCAGAGCTTACCCGGCCAAATTTGTGTTTTAAAAACAGTCCATTTTTCTCAAACGCAGCGATAAGAAGTGCATTATAGTCCTTTATCCATATACCAATGTCAACATCTTTACTGTGGGGAATGATGTCACATTGCCTGAACCAACCTAAAGGTTGGTAAGAAGAAATACACCAATTTTCTAATTATTAGAAAGTTCTATTAACGCATGTAACATGTTACAAAAAAAAAAAAACCCATCCAGAATGTAAAAAGACAAAGTCCAAAATGAAAGGTAGTAAATGTGTGGAGAATAATCCCAAAATCCTGTAAAAACATGCATAGAGAAAAAAATTGCTAAACTTCCCCAGTAAATTATTTCACAAAAGCTCTGATGGATCCAAGCAATAGCTGTCTAAAAGATTTGTGGGGATGTTGAAGAAACTTAGTTTCCAGCAAAATTTCTTCAAAAAGCTGTGGAAGCCAGGAAATCTGTGGACAGACATTTGCATTATTCTTGCACAATGCTGCATACAAATGTTTGAATTAACTAGTAAATGGGTTACAAAAGTGACTAACAAGACAAGGAAGGGATAAAGAACAAAGGAACATATTGCAATGAATGATACAGGATGAGCACTAAAGAGTGGCAGAGAAGGGGGGTCGGGGTGGATAGGAGAAAGTGCTTAAGGGGGAAAGTCAAGAAAAAAAATATGATGATCACTGAATGAGACTGAAACACCAAGCAAAAGAACACATCTAAGTTTTGTTTAATCTCCCAACAAAAGACACTTCTCACCCAAACATGTTCCACTGCTCAGCCAAAATCGAACACCCAGGCGATCCAGTGCAGTAATGGCAGTGGACAAAACTTCTAATGCTATCTTTTTAAAAAGGACTGCATCTTGGGAAACATCTCTTCCATATTTGCTATAGTAAGCTTGAGCATTTGTGAGATTACAACCTGTAAATTGTGACTGGCTAGTCTCTAAAGTAATTTTCTTTTGATCTGCAGGAATACTGATGTGTATTCCATCAATAACTTTTTCCTCAATGGAGAACCTTTTGAACAGAAATCAGAGGTGTCAAAGTTAATGGGAATATTATTGATGTGATAGTGTAAAAATATCATGCCTTCAATTGAAAAATTTTGGAAGAATGGCAGCTAGGATAACTGTATAATATTTTAGAGATTGATTAGAGTAATTACCATGCTCTGTTTGGTTTGTGGTTAGCTATACATGTACTTTGTTATATTAGCTCTATATGTACTTTGTTATAATCCCCTGCAATGTGAATAAGATTGAGGTTGAAACAACCCAACCAATACCAGTTTTTTTTTTTTTATCTTGAACAAGAAGATATTGTCTCAACTGGTTCAGGATTTAAAAGTCTGTGACACACTCCTACTCAAAATTTCCACTATGCCCTCTCCCCTTCTGGCAAAAATATCAGTTTTTAATGTCTCCAACATGGTAGAAAAACACAGTCGAATATGTATCTTACCATCACACTTGTAGTAAGCTACTACATCTACTTACTTGGTATGAGCAGCTTGATATTTGAATAAAGCAGCTGTGGTAGTCCCTTGAATAGGTCCATGCCACAAATAAGATTTCCTGTCATAAAATATGACCAGTTCTATAACTATGTCAGCCTGGGTGATATTACATGTAGATACAATGGACTTGATACTCAAAAAATCTTTACTTGAATCAAACCATGGTTCAGGGACTTTATCACAGGCAATAAGGAAACCTTGTGTGCGGAGGCCTGTCATAAAACGGGACTGACAAAACAAAAAGAAAACAAAAAAAAGAAAGGTCATGTAGATAAATGCAAGTAGCTTGAACAATTGGCTGCTAAAACACAGACTGAGTATAACTGCTAAATTCTTAAAAATTGACATACTCACTATTAATGTTGATTGCAAATTCCTTTGTTCTTTCTCCCATTCTGAATTTATCACACCAAATACAAAATGCTCATGTCCACACAGCAATCTACATCCAACTGTTTCAGGCTGGATGACATCAGATACTTGTCGGTCAAATACCAGTGGGTGAAATAAAAATAAGGGAACTCTCTGTTTCTGTCCAACATTTGAGAATAACTTTAGTTGGTTCTAAAAACATAACATGGCCACTCAGTCAATGCCAAGATCTTTAGCTACTTTTCTTTCATGTTGGCCATCACATCTTATTTGGGACTTAATTATCCTTATCTCCTGTACATTTGACAATGTACTGTTATCACTAGAGAAAGCCACATAATCATTTAATCAACCCTCTGAAGTCAAAGAACTTAGAGGAATGTCACTCCTTTTAGATAGAATTTCAGTCCATTATAATAATAATAATAATAATAATAATAATAATCAACTTTATTTAAAGAGGGTAAAACACATAACAGTATAAAACTGACAAACCAGTGGCCCTCTTAAAATATATTACAAATAATTATTGAAAAAGATTAAAAACTAATTAATTATGGAAAAAGATCAAGAGCTAAAAATCTAAAATTACAAAGTTTATAAAAACTATAAGATAAAATGTTCTAATCGTTTATAACTATTCTTAAAAAAATCTAACATGGCCTTCTTAAAACATTTGATAGTAGGTTTCATTCTTATGTCCAGTGGTAAGGTATTCCAGAGGCGTGAGGTCGATACTGTGAAAGACCTACCTCCCTCTGACTCCCGTTTGAATCGGGGACAGACGAGGTTTAGTTGTCCATGTCTGCTTGATCTTTCATTTATGTCTGCATTTCTTACGAGCATTTGGGACATATAAGGTGGACAGTCCCCAGACAATCGTTTGTACACCATTAGTGACCTATTTACTTTTGCCTCATGAAAGAATGGAACCCAATCCAATTTCCTAAACAGTTGTACGCTATTCGCTTTAGTGTCAGCTCCGAGAATTACACGTGCCGCGCGTTTCTGAAGTTTAAAGACTTTCTGCAAATTCTCAGCAGAACAAGATGTCCATATGGTTGATGCATAAAGCATTGTCTGCTTGATCATAGCATTATAATAAAGTTTCCTTTGATCAATGGGCAAAAAGCGTCTTNGTGCTTTACTGCGAAGGATCGTTCTTATATACGTCTCATAACCGCAGTTCACTCATATGTTTCATATGTTTGTTGTTGTTCGATTTATCATCTACGGGTTTATATCGAATTAATTTGATGGCCTGCTCCCAGTTGGCTTGTTAGCTCAATTGGTAGAGCGCTGCACTAGTATCGCAGAGGTCAGTGGTTCGAATCCCGTACAGGCCTGAAATTTTTTTCAGGTCTGATTTCCACTATTGCTCAAATAGTGCTTTACTGCGAAGGATCGTTCTTATATACGTCTCATAACCGCAGTTCACTCATATGTTTCATATGTTTGTTGTTGTTCGATTTATCATCTACGGGTTTATATCGAATTAATTTGATGGCCTGCTCCCAGTTGGCTTGTTAGCTCAATTGGTAGAGCGCTGCACTAGTATCGCAGAGGTCAGTGGTTCGAATCCCGTACAGGCCTGAAATTTTTTTCAGGTCTGATTTCCACTATTGCTCAAATAGTGCTTTACTGCGAAGGATCGTTCTTATATACGTCTCATAACCGCAGTTCACTCATATGTTTCATATGTTTGTTGTTGTTCGATTTATCATCTACGGGTTTATATCGAATTAATTTGATGGCCTGCTCCCAGTTGGCTTGTTAGCTCAATTGGTAGAGCGCTGCACTAGTATCGCAGAGGTCAGTGGTTCGAATCCCGTACAGGCCTGAAATTTTTTTCAGGTCTGATTTCCACTATTGCTCAAATAGTGCTTTACTGCGAAGGATCGTTCTTATATACGTCTCATAACCGCAGTTCACTCATATGTTTCATATGTTTGTTGTTGTTCGATTTATCATCTACGGGTTTATATCGAATTAATTTGATGGCCTGCTCCCAGTTGGCTTGTTAGCTCAATTGGTAGAGCGCTGCACTAGTATCGCAGAGGTCAGTGGTTCGAATCCCGTACAGGCCTGAAATTTTTTTCAGGTCTGATTTCCACTATTGCTCAAATAGTGCTTTACTGCGAAGGATCGTTCTTATATACGTCTCATAACCGCAGTTCACTCATATGTTTCATATGTTTGTTGTTGTTCGATTTATCATCTACGGGTTTATATCGAATTAATTTGATGGCCTGCTCCCAGTTGGCTTGTTAGCTCAATTGGTAGAGCGCTGCACTAGTATCGCAGAGGTCAGTGGTTCGAATCCCGTACAGGCCTGAAATTTTTTTCAGGTCTGATTTTCACTATTGCTCAAATAGTGCTTTACTGCGAAGGATCGTTCTCATATACGTCTCATAACCGCAGTTCACACATATGTTTCATATGTTTGTTGTTGTTTGATTTATCATCTACGGGTTTATATCGAATTAATTTGATGGCCTGCTCCCAGTTGGCTTGTTAGCTCAATTGGTAGAGCGCTGCACTAGTATCGCAGAGGTCAGTGGTTCGAATCCCGTACAGGCCTGAAATTTTTTTCAGGTCTGATTTTCACTATTGCTCAAATAGTGCTTTACTGCGAAGGATCGTTCTCATATACGTCTCATAACCGCAGTTCACACATATGTTTCATATGTTTGTTGTTGTTTGATTTATCATCTACGGGTTTATATCGAATTAATTTGATGGCCTGCTCCCAGTTGGCTTGTTAGCTCAATTGGTAGAGCGCTGCACTAGTATCGCAGAGGTCAGTGGTTCGAATCCCGTACAGGCCTGAAATTTTTTTCAGGTCTGATTTCCACTATTGCTCAAATAGTGCTTTACTGCGAAGGATCGTTCTCATATACGTCTCATAACCGCAGTTCACACATATGTTTCATATGTTTGTTGTTGTTTGATTTATCATCTACGGGTTTATATCGAATTAATTTGATGGCCTGCTCCCAGTTGGCTTGTTAGCTCAATTGGTAGAGCGCTGCACTAGTATCGCAGAGGTCAGTGGTTCGAATCCCGTACAGGCCTGAAATTTTTTTCAGGTCTGATTTCCACTATTGCTCAAATAGTGCTTTACTGCGAAGGATCGTTCTCATATACGTCTCATAACCGCAGTTCACACATATGTTTCATATGTTTGTTGTTGTTTGATTTATCATCTACGGGTTTATATCGAATTAATTTGATGGCCTGCTCCCAGTTGGCTTGTTAGCTCAATTGGTAGAGCGCTGCACTAGTATCGCAGAGGTCAGTGGTTCGAATCCCGTACAGGCCTGAAATTTTTTTCAGGTCTGATTTCCACTATTGCTCAAATAGTGCTTTACTGCGAAGGATCGTTCTCATATACGTCTCATAACCGCAGTTCACACATATGTTTCATATGTTTGTTGTTGTTTAATACACAATAGCTAACCAATAACTCCTAAACAAAGAAAGAACAATGGTAATTCCCTTGTGAACCGGTACACCAGGACAGAACCGTGAACTTTGTTCCGGTGTTGTGTCACTGTGGTTGGATTCATGGAAAAGGAATGTGATTAAAATTGGTGTTATATTTTTCTTAATTTTATAAAGGTTTTTGAAGCAGGCCACTTAAAAAGTGCAGTAGCAATGGATGAATTGATAGGAGCCTCTCAAAACAATTTCCCAGTAAATGTTCTCAAGTTCTTTGATCTAACTGATGGTTTGGAATTGAGCTGGGCTCATGCGGTGAACAGTCAATTAAAACTTAAGGAAGCCTTTTCTGGAAATAGTATGATGTTAGAGGCAGATGTACTTCTACACCCCAAAGATGGAACACCACTGATGGCACATCCACCCAACACCAACAGTGATCTTTCACTTGTTCAGTTTCTAAAAAAAACTATTGGTTCAGGTAAAGGAATTAAGTTGGATTTTAAGGTAACAGCTGTGGTTGAACCTTCTCTAAGAATTCTCTCTGATCAAACGACAGCGCAGCATGAAGCAACTAATCCAATATGGCTTAATGCAGATATCCTAAGTGGACCATGCCAAACAGACTGTAATGATCCTGTTGATCCACAAGTGTTTCTTTCCCTTTGTGCAAAATATTTTCCTTCAGCTACTTTATCAGTTGGCTGGACAACAGGCAAATATATTTCCCCAGAAAAAGATGGTTATGATTGGCATTTGGTTCAGCCAATGAAACAGCTGCTCTCTAATTTGACTCAGCCAATCACTTTTGCAATTAGAGCCAATTTGATTGGTAATTCAATAGAGCAGTTAATATGGCTTCTTGGCCTCTCAGAAGAGTACACCTTAACAATCTGGTCAGCAGACTCTGATGCTCCAAACATGAAAGACCTTGTTGCTCTGCATAATAGGGTGTCTGACAAAAAGAGGATTTTTTATGACCTGCCCTTACATCAGAAAACAAACTTCAGGGAAGAACTAAAATATTACTGATAATTTTAAGGGGCCCTTGTAGAAAGCTTCTTTTTAGTTTATACTTGAGGTAATGAAGATAATTATAAATAATAATGATTATAGTAATAATAATCTTTATGATGATCATCATGATAGTGATGATGTATTTCACACTGCATTTGCTTGAAATGATTGAACAACCAATTAAAGTTTATGAGAAGTGTAATCTACTGTGGTTTTACCTGTACCCGATTGCCAATTAATTTTTATTTTGAAGTAATCAGCATCAATAATATTACTGGTAGTTGACTGCAGTTTTGTTTCAGAAATAATTACTCTACCCCAAAAACTATATAGCTTACATGTATGTAATTTCAGTGTCACTTCTGTTGTGCTATTCATCTGTTTTATAACGTTCAGAAGAAATTGTCCTTTGTAGCCCCTCTTTGAAAAAAATGATCATGATGTTTTATAAAGATGACCTTCATTAGCACAGCAGATCAAATCCCAAAGGGGAACAAAGCTGTCATAAAAAGCTGTAACTGCATCCCTTATCTGAATTTTTTATCTTTATCATATTAATGATGTGCTATTAGTGTTGTTACACTACTGTTAGGCTAAGGCATTTTGACCTTAAATGTTGTGTTTATACCCTGTAGAGCTTGTGTATGCCTATTTACCTTGTGGGTTGTTTGCATTACAGGACTGGTAAACTTTCAAGCTAGGCTGTCATGTTGCTTCAACATACATGTTGTGGTAGCAAACATGATAGATGGTCAGAGTAGTTTTCAGTTGACTGTTGAGAGTAATCAGGGAATGCTTTGTGCTTTGTTTTTTTTTTTTTTTTTTAATGTTTCTGACTGACAAAAGTTTTCCTCAACCATTCACTATACCAGAGCCAAATGAATGGTACTCCAGCCAACCAAATGTAAGCTTAAGAAAAGCATTTAGGGAATGGTTATTTGCCTTGTCTCTCCTTAGAAATGAAAGTGAAATATACTGTGAGGGACAGTTAACACCTCCTTACTACACCCAAAAAGTCTATAAAATTTTATTTCCTTCATTTATTTTTGTTTCCTTCATTCTTGAGTATTACAAGGCTGCAACTATATGATAACAGGGTTTAATACTAATGGTGCACAATAGGAAGTATACAGTTGGCAATAGCAAGAATAGAGAATGGAATGCTATACTTAAAAGCTAATTAAGGCTCTCAAGAAATTTTTGACTTAAAAGCTCTCTTATTTCCATACAAAAAAATAAACAAAAACAACAACACACACACACACACACACATACACTGTGACTGCTATGAAGTGAGGTTAGTACTGAGTAAAATAGTATTTGTAACGAGCCTTTGGTACACCCAATAATTCATTGGACTTAACTAAAATTACTTTCTTCAAAATCACTTTCTCCAGCCCTCAATACACTGAAGAAATAAAAATTTAATTATTTAAACTCATAACTTTATTGCTTACATGAAAATTCTTCCAAACACCAAGCAAACAATCAAAACTGACCTTGTACATCTAGAGAGTGAATTTTCTAATGAGAATTCAAACAGCGCTATCAAAGAAACTAAAACCGGCATGCTCATGAGGTTGCATTTGTAATCAAGGACCTATCCATAGCCACAAGTTAGTCAGTTGAATTTGCAGATGAAGACATTGGTGCACTTTGGTCCAAAAGGTAGTTACTGACTCATACACCAAGTTGCACACCAAGTTGGAAAAAACACTTTTGTAAAAGTAAGCTAAATGTCTAGAGTTACCAGCGAAAACTAAAGAAAATTATGCAAGTCACTTTATTTTTCCTAGCTCAACAAACTATGAGAAAATGCCAACATAAAGAGTGAAATTATTCGAAAACAACATCTCAAGGAGCTGCAACCTGCCAACCCAGGAAGTGCAACTGCAAAGTGAACATCTCTCACAAGAATTGCATCTGACAGTATTCCTGTAGTTATCAAGGCATGACCTTCAACTGGTTCACTTTTTATATCCAAGGAAACAGTTGCTTTACTTAATTCATCCTTGTCCACTGCAGTGATTTCACATTTGACAGTTCTCATTTTGGCATAGTTTGAATGTTCTGAGATTCGAAAGCTGAACTCACCATTTTCACTTTTTACTGATCCGTTTTTCATATTACTCTCAGCTACAGAGAACTGAAAGTCACCATTGCTGTGCAGCAGTAATGAAACAATCTGACCTGAAAGTACAGCCACACCAGTTTCATCTTTAACATGCAGTTTGATGGTAACACTTCCACTGTTGCTTGCTTCATCAAGGTTGATGAAGGAAATGTTACCCATAAATTCTGAGAAAGCACCGTTTGATACTTTGTACAGGGTCTTCTCAGATACAACTGTTCCACCCTCTCCTGAAAACATCACACTGTTCTGACCAACAACCACTTCTTGGCAGTCCTTTACAGCTGAAGCTTTCCATGCAAAGGCCTCTTTCTTTTTAAAAATGTCATTGCTGGACTTAAGTGCATCTTTAAAGGCCTTTTCCTGATCAGGTGGAAGGTCATAATAGATTCTTTCACGTGACACGTTATTTCGCAGAGCAACAAGGTCTAGAGGATCAACCTTATCAGTAGTAGAAGACCAGATTGTCACAGTAAATGTTTCTGATAAGTCAAGTAACCACTGAAGCTGATCCCATGACCTTTGCACAAGATTAGCACGGAAAGGGAAGGTGATTGGCTGTGCAATCTGGGATACGAGTTTTCCCATTGGAAGAACCTGGGACCAGTTGTAGTAGTTTTTGGATGCTGTCATATTTTCTCCTGTTTTCCAGCTAATAGAAAGGGTTGCATTGGGGTAATAACTTTTGCACAGAGACAGGAACCTCTCATGGTCCACAGGGACACAAACTTTATCATAGCAAGGACCAGGCAGTATGTCAGCATTCAGCCAAATTGGGTTGGTGACCTGTTGCCCAAGTGTCACATTCTTCATCATCTTTAAAGAAGGCTCCACCACTTGAATTGTCTTGAAGTCCAACTTGATTCCTTTGTTAGGTGAGGTGGGTGTCTTCTCCAGAAAGGTTTGCAAGGTTAAGTTGCTGTCTACAGCTGGGGGATGGGCCATCACAGGGGTTCCATCTGCTATGTTGTTTCGAATCAAGACATCTGCCTCCAGCATCATTGTGTCTCCTGACAGCCCCTGTTCTAATAACTCAGGTGAGTTGACAGCATGTAGCCATGTGACATCTATTCCATCATTCACTTTAAAGAACTTCAAAATGTCATCTTGGGCATGATGTATCAATTTACAAGGCACACTTACAACTACCAAATAAATCAATCCTACAAAGTGAAAAAAAGGAAGATATTTTAGTCACAGGACGTACCTCACCAGTTTATACTCAAAGTAAATTCTCAAGTTTGTGTGACATCCATCTACTTGACTTTCTTTATTTATGAATTGTTGGTTGATTTTGGGGAGGGTTGATTGTTGTGACTGTCATTTGACTCAACCAGATCTGAAGTTCATCTACTTCAGATAACTTTTACATAAAAGCTTCAAGACTTGAAATACAAAAAAACGCCTTTTCAACGATTGGTGCTAAACTATGGAATGAGATACCTAATTCTCTGAGAGGGCTACCAAAGAAATCCTTCAAACTCAGAATTAAAAACAAACTACTAAGTGTACTCGAAGATGAAGACTCTTTCATTGAGGTTTGCAAAATCATCTCTCAGCTAAATTAAAATGTCAGTAGTAGTAGTAGGGGGAAGGGAAGAGAGAGAAACAAGGAAAATGTTATCTAATAAACCACATTCTTTTCCTACTTTTCTTTATATTTTATCAATATTAATAGTAATAAGCTAATGCATGATGGACTATAGCTATTGGTGGACTGGCCCACCTAGACTAGCAGAGCTATATGTGGGCCAGTCTGACTTTAAATGTATGTTTTTATGTAATAACAATAATAAAAGCGATAAAAGTGATGACGAAG